CATCGTAGTCCAGGTGGAGATGCTTGTTTGCATTAAGTGCAAACAAGTCTTATCTGATTAGTAGTTAACTATGCCCAGGTGTTGTAGTACGTATGTTGTATATTGTACTCGTTGCTTTTTTTTTTTTTTTTTTTTTTTGTACTATGATTATTTAGTTATGTATTCTATTATTGATTATTATTATCTCGGATCTATTATATTAAATGTGATGCTCACCATGCAGGGCCCCCTATCAAAGTATAGAAAAAGCGATAATAAACCGACGCACTACGGAGTAACGGAGTAGACTCATCTCAGTATATTATAGACATTTTGAAACAACCACATGTTTTCGTATTGATTAGTCTGTTTCAGGCCATCCAAGACCCATGAAAATCTTCTATTTACTAGGATCCCTTGGTGAATCATTAATATAATTCAAAACCCAACCATCTAATCGGCTGCCCACGCTTATATTACATCGAAGGACTTTGTACATTCCATGGCGTGGCACATGCGGTCCACTTCACTGGAGTCCTACAGGTATTTCCGAGCAAATCCACTTTGCTTTTTCCCTCCCCTTGCGTCTTTGACCAAGTTTTTGATGGAATTCGATCGACGTGGCTTTCTGGCACTATTTCTTTTTAACTTCTACATTTCCCTTTGTCTCCTCAACAAGGGAATGATCTGTTAGTCTTACGCTATCCGAGACCATCCGTCCCTCTCAGCACGCTATCACCCTCTGCCATCGCGTCGGAGGCAGTTTGTCGGACACCCTCCATATGATATAGTCCTGTCCTTCCTCGCCGTGTTCGCCTCGCGCTTCACCGTCGAGATGTTATCTACAAATCCGAATGTCGGCGGGGCCAGTCGATCCGCAATGGCCACCACAACTATCAAAATCGACGGAATGACTTGCGGAGCGTGCACCTCAGCAGTAGAGGGCGCATTTCAAGGGATACACAGTGTGCGCGACGTTTCCGTCAGTCTCATCATGGGCCGGGCCGCTGTACAACATGATCCGTCGGTCTTGTCGCCTACGAAAATCGCAGAGATGATTGAGGACTGCGGGTTCGACGCGGCAGTACTTTCGAGCGAGGAACAAAGAAATCCTGACCCCGCTTTTTCCCTGACTACGCGGTTCTCGGTAACCAACCTGGCGGTTGAAGGTATGACATGCGGGGCATGTACGTCTGCAGTGGAAAGCGGGTTGAACGGGGTCAGTGGTGTGAACTCCGTAGACGTATCCCTGCTTTCCGAGCGCGCAGTCGTGGAACATGATGCAGGCATCATCACACCGGAACAGATCGCAGAGCTCATTGAAGATCGAGGCTTCGGGGCGCGAGTGCTGGACACTGCCCTAGCGGGCTCCAAGGGGCCATCTGTACCGGCTGGCTCGGAAGAGAAATCTGGACTTCTGGTCACCACGGTCGCGATCGGAGGCATGACATGCGGTGCTTGCACATCTAGCGTCCAGGGTGCCTTGGGCGGTGTCGATGGGGTAGTCCAATTCAACATCAGTCTTCTGGCTGAGCGGGCGGTGGTCGTGCACGACCCAGCCATACTGCCTGCCAGCAAAATCCCAGAGCTTGTTGAGGATGCCGGATTTGATGCGTCGATCGTGTCATCAGAGGCGCAGGCGTCAATCTCCAAAAAGACACAGCAGGTCAATTTGAGCTTGCATGGGCTACGAGACGGCGTTTCTGCCACAGCATTGGAAGACAATCTATTACAGCAACCGGGTGTTCATTCAGCATCAATAAAAATGGCAACCTCTCGCATGGTCGTTTCTTTCGACCCATCTACAATCGGAATCCGGTCTGTTGTGGAAGTGATCGAGGCTGCTGGTTACAACGCCTTGATTGTTGACTCAGATGATACCAACGCACAGCTACAGTCATTGTCCAAGACGAAGGAAATCCAAGAATGGAAAAGATCATTCATCATCGCCGCCTCTTTTGCGGTTCCCGTCTTCCTCATCAGCATGATTCTTCCGATGTATTTGCCCGGGATTGACTTTGGCAGTTTTGCGCTCTTCCCGGGCCTATACCTTGGAGACCTGGTCTGTCTCGCTCTGACCATTCCGGTGCAGTTCGGCATCGGCAAACGATTTTATGTCACCAGCTTCAAGTCCCTCAAGCATCGATCCCCAACCATGGACGTTCTCATAATGTTGGGCACGTCCACTGCCTTCTTTTATAGCTGTTTCACCATGATCATGGCCCTTTGCAGTACGGACCCTAAGCGTCCTAGCACCGTGTTCGACACATGTACGATGCTCATCACATTTATCACATTGGGACGATGGCTAGAAAACCGAGCCAAGGGCCAAACCTCCGCTGCTCTTTCTAGACTCATGTGTCTGACTCCATCTATGACAACTATCTACGAAGATCCCATTGCTGCGGAGAAACTGGCTGAGCGCTGGAGCTCTAAACCTACATCTGGCGCAATCGAACAATCCACAGTGGCTGAAGACATGACGGTGAATCAAAAGTGCATTCCCACCGAGCTGATTCAAGTCGGCGATGTTGTTATTCTTCACCCCGGTGATAATGTGTCTGCGGACGGTGTGGTCATCCGGGGTGAAAGCTATGTTGACGAGAGTATGATCAGTGGAGAGGCACTACCTATTCACAAAAAGGAAGGCAGTCAAATCATTGCTGGAACTGTGAATGGCACAAACTCGATTGATTTCAAAGTCATTCGAGCCGGCAAGGATACCCAGTTGAGCCAGATTGTAAAGCTGGTACAGGACGCGCAGACGAGCCGTGCTCCGATTCAGCGCATGGCTGATATCGTTGCTGGTTACTTTGTCCCCACCATCATCGGCCTTGGTTTGATCACATTCTTTGGTTGGATGTTCCTAAGTCATATACTGCCTCATCCGCCCACAATCTTTGAAATGGCAGGCAGTGGTGGCCGAGTCATGGTTTGCTTGAAACTGTGCATCTCAGTCATTGTCTTTGCGTGCCCCTGTGCTCTAGGTCTGAGCACCCCGACCGCAGTCATGGTTGGTACCGGCGTTGGCGCGGAGCATGGCATCCTCGTTAAGGGAGGTGCCGTGCTAGAAGCTGCCACTAAAGTGACTCACGTTGTCTTCGATAAGACGGGCACCCTAACTACAGGTCGGATGAGCGTGGACCACACCCGAATTGAACCTCAGTGGACAATGAACGACTGGCGCCGTCAGCTCTGGTGGCTTATTGTCGGTCTCGCAGAGACAGGCAGTGAACACCCAATCGGAAGAGCGATCTTCTCTACGGCCATAACCGAATCAGGTCATCCCGGAGAAGATGGGCTACCAGGAAGCACGGGTGACGTTGAAAACTGTGTTGGCAAAGGTGTCTCTGCCGTCGTCGAACCCACATCTAGTGGCCAGCGTATCCGACACCATGTCCTCCTTGGCAACGCCAACTTCCTTCGGTCCAAAGACGTCCCTGTGCCTGCCGATGCAGATCCCGACTCTGCGGAACCTGTCGAAGACCCGGAAGCCGACATCCCCAAGCCTGGTGCCACCGCAGCCGGAATTACACGCATCCACGTCGCAATCGACAATCGCTATGCCGGAACCATCTCCCTCCGAGACACAGTGAAAGAGACAGCCGTGGCGGCCATAGCGGCCCTGCATCGCATGGGCATATCAACCTCCATGGTAACAGGCGACACGCTTTCAACAGCGATATCAATTGCCACAACAGTCGGCATCCCAACCGCTTCAATCTACGCCTCCGTCTCCCCATCCGAGAAACGCTCAATCGTCTCCGCCCTCCAAGCAGAAGGCGAGCGCGTCGCCATGGTCGGCGATGGCATCAACGACTCTCCCGCGCTGGCCACGGCATCCGTCGGAATCGCCCTCGCATCCGGCACAGACGTAGCGGTCGAGGCTGCGGATATCGTCCTCATGCGTCCGGACGATCTACTCTCTGTACCAGCCAGTCTCTCCCTGTCACGCTCGGTCTTCAAACGCATCAAGTTGAACTTGATATGGGCTTGCATGTACAATGTCATCGGCCTTCCATTCGCCATGGGCCTTTTCCTCCCCTTCACGGGCTTCATGCTACCACCTATGGCTGCCGGTGGTGCCATGGCTCTCTCCAGTGTCTCCGTTGTTGTTAGCAGTCTGCTATTGAAGTTCTGGCGTCGTCCGTCTTGGATGACCGTTGAACGTCTTGAGAAGGAGCTTCGCTCCGGTGCGATCTCTCCGGCTGGTTTGGCGCATCGCGGTAATTCTCGTAAGGGGAGCTGGTGGACTTCGACAAATATTTTGTCGGATAGCCCACGCTCCCTGCGTCGTCGCGTTGGGAATGTTTTCTCTTCGCTTTGGTCTTTGGTTACTGGCAAGGGACCTGTGCCAGTTGGTCGGGGTGATGAGGGTTATGTTCCGCTGCAGACAGTTGAGCCGCCTGTTTGATTTCGTCTTGTCTCTTGTCCAATTCTCCATAAAGTGACTTGTCCTGTATAAGGGCTTGCTTTGTTTGATGCCTCATGCTTATGTGGTTGGATTGGCATACATATTTCGGCCCCAGTTTTGGCGTCGTGTTTCGGTTTATTTTTATTATTTGATATCCTCCTCCGTTAAGGTCATTCCTGCATTTGTTACATGAATATCTTCACATGTAAGAAAACTAAGAACAAAAAGTAAAGGATAAATATATCAGGTGTCCTTGTCAGCGTAGAATATGTCTTCAAATATTGTTTGTCTGTATATATATACAGACAAGAATAGTCGGCCACATATGCCATGTCTTTTTGTTGGTATTTTAATATGCTCTTTAGGTGTAAACGAAGGCGATGCAAGAGTCATTTCTATCTTATTAGCTAGCGGAATAGCTGTATGTCAATAAAAGGAATTGTGAACAGAAGCTATTCTGGACTTTGCATATATATATGATTAGTTGTTTTACCATTCTAGCATACACACTCAATATTCTCGAAGTTCCACAGTACCTATCAATATCTACACTCCGTAAAGTAGCTTGTTAACTATAGTTAGCGTACACGATGCACCATAAAGGTTATTATCTAATTGTGGCCATCATAGCCATGTGCGGATACTTGAGCGCAAATTCCTCATTGAGCGACCAGTTACTGTAGTCGAGAGCATGTGGTTCAAACTCTGGGTTTAGAACCACATCCAAGGAATCGTTTCTAACCAGCAAAGGTTTCGAGTTCGGCCAGTTAATCGAAACAGAACGACCGTAGTCAATATCAAACTCTTCTCGAGTATACTCAACAGAGCCCGAAACCATGGCGTTGCGCAACTGAGGGAATGGCATGAAGTCGGTAAAGATTTGGTGAGGTGTGTTACTTTGGATTTCAGTCGGTCGAAACCATTCCGGTACGTCCTGGAGGGTTTTGAGAGATGGGGAAAGACGGTACTACTGTTGTAAGCAATCTGCTGCGTCCAATTGAAGATGGTAAAAGCAAAAAGAAGAGGAAGAATGCGGATGAGCATAGTATGGCAGAACTGACACGAAGTAGCCGATAGAGGAGAATATAGGCCCCTAACAATACATCCATCCCACAAAGACCGTCTCGCTTCAACATTTTGAATAAAATCCGAGATACAACGTTGTTCCCTTCTCCCACAAAAAGAAGATCGGGAAGGGATGGACTCAATGGGACGGGTGGCGTTTGAGGTTGAACGTGCGCTTCGATCACCGCATCGTAGACGGTATGCTCGAAGCAGTCTGCATACGAGGAGTGCACCCTTGGCTGACAGAGACAGGATGGGAGCACTACACCTCGATACTTGAATATGGTCGGTGGAGAAGTGTCTATGTGTGTATAGATAGTAGGAGGAGCTTTTGAATCATCCACAGAGATGGGGTCTCTGTTAGGTAATTCCCGGGTTTGGCGATAGGCGTTAAGCGTCGTTTGGTCTGCCCCCGTTTCTGACGGATGCAACGCCGAAGTAACCAATTGCACGCTATCCTGAGCATACGGAGAACAAGAATCGTTACTTTCAGGCAGACTGCCTATTACGACAGGCGAATGATTGAGCTCCCTTGATACCACGCTGCAATCCGCTACCAAGAGACTTCGATCTGTGTCCCCATACAGCTTCGGGGGTGCTTGTCCGCCGTGGGCCTGATTTGGCGTCAGACTGCTAGGACTGGAGCTGGAGCTCGAGTCTCCTCTCGTACCTGCCATCCTGCCATCTTGCGGGGTGATAATATCCACCGGCAGGGACACTGAAGGGGATTGGGAAAGATGAGTGCTGGGATGTGTATTGTGCAGAGTGTTCATCCCATCCAGAATCATGGCCATGGTTTTCTGGAGGCTGTCCATCTGCCGTTGGATTTTCTGGACATCGGCCTGGATCTGAATTAATCGGTCCTTGTCCGTCTCGCGTTTGATTCTCTGTGATTGCTTGTCTAGCTCTCTCTTTCTTTCCAGTTGTTTTGATGTCCGGCGCCGGACCGGTTGCTTCGGACTGGGGTCCATCTCCATGGGCCGTGGGAGGATAAAACCGCAGGGCAAGAATCTATTCCAATTGTCGAACAGCGAGATGGACGACATCGTCCGGTTGAACACATGGGCTTTTATGGTAGCGCTGAGTCAGCACTCTAAAGGACCAAAAGGAAGAACGGACGATGTCGTCCACGAGATAGCAGCAAGGATCATTACCAAAAGTCCCGGAATATGTATTCCGCATAGCCATTAATTATACTGAATGAAGTGCGTCCAACCTGTTATGCACCTTTCCGAGGGCGATACGGGCAATCGGAACTCAGAACCTCAATGGTCCCATCGCCGTTGCACTATTCTCTTCATACGGTGCCATTCGAGCGCATATTCCTCCTGTGCCGCATCCAAGTCCCTGACCCAGGACTTGGTTTGCGAAAACTCGATGTGCTAATGGGCCAATTTCTCGCATATTATCGCCAAAACTCCGCCATGTGGTGTTTAATTGGACAGTTCCATTAACTTTTGCACCTCCAATACGTTCTGGAGGTCATGTTATTCCGGATTTCCCCAGTTTCTGTAGATTCATACTTCTTCGCATCGTATTAGGCTAGACTAGAAGTAAGCTTACAGACCAAAACATGCGTAAAAAACAGGCATTATTCAGTAGTTTTATGAGCGCCAAGCCTGTATTTATGTATAGAAATGGGCTTAGTTGGGCTTTGAGGGCCCAACTCGGCCCATTGAGGTCTCGTGGCAGCGGCTTGGACGGAAACTCGAGTCAGCGTCGGCCTCCGAGAGTGCGAGGCCGAGAGCTTCTGCCTTTTTATCCCAGCCCCAACCTCAATATTTAAATCCTGTTTTATCTTTTTTTTTAAAAAAAAAACTACTTGAATAAGGATATTCTGTTAAACCGCCGTTCACTTTCAATCGCGTCAACAATGCTTACTCTTTATATCGCCTATACCGAACCAGTAAATGGTGCCGATCCAACCACTCCAACTCTGACACAAGAACAGGTCTGGAACGGCATCAAATTGAAGGCTAGATGCCCTGAAGCATTTATCCCATCTTTCGATGACTCTCGTGTCGTTGAAGAGCGTGAAAATGGCTGCGTCATTGTGAGAGATGCTCATGTTTCAGCGGATCTTCACGAGTCTCCAATGGCAGGGAAATGGACCCGCGAGGAATGCAGATTACATGCACCGGTAAAAGTAAGTGTCTCACCCCAAGAAGCTTTATCAATCACTTGAGCTACTTGAGCTACTTGAGCTTTTTAACATCACAATTTGTTATTATTGTCTAATCAGAGGACAGACCTGCTTCACCCTTCCAGGTGGATCTATAGTCGAGAATATTATCGCCAGAGGGCCGGATCAGACTTTACATCTCACCTTCACATACGAATGGCACCTGCCAGGTATTGAATCTGGAACAAATGAGGCCAAGAAAGCAGAGGATGATCACATGAAAATTGCAGTATCTTCAGTTCAGGGGACCATCCAAGCAATGAGGAAAATGGCACAGGAAAACAGAATATGAGTGGAGCAAAATGAACCTAGGAGCAAAACCTAACACTAGATTTTTGAGAGCCAAAACAACGAGCGTTCCTGAAAATAAAGCCCCTTGGATATTGTTATCCATAACTGTAGAGTAACCCTATAGCTCCGGGCTGGTGGGGTGATATCTTCACTTTCAAGCTACTTGGGACCTCTCATGTCAACTTCAACCAGAACTTCAGGCACCTTGTCTAGGCCATTCAAGGATGTCAAACGGTTCCAGCATGTTAATAGCCGCTGGCCTCTGTAAAGTAGATATAGCAACTTTCCTTTCGTCCCCGTTATTATTATCTTGATTGCCTCAACATAGGGCTTCTTTCCAAAATCGCCCGAAGTCCATACAAACCAGATAACCGAACAGGTTATCATAAGTGGTCTTTTTGGTAAGTGCTTGCATTTTATCATAGATTTAGCTTAGTGGACTCGGAGTGGACCTTCGGGGTCCATTTGGGTCTTGCGCCTTTGCTCTGTATATGACATTATACTAGATGGGATAAATTACAACTTGACATCTCCACAAGTTAGGCTATATGGAAATTTCCTAATAGGTTAATGCTTTTTAGCATATATACATGGTTGTTGGGATTGGACTAATACTCATCCACTTTGAAAACTCTCCTGATCCACGATTTCTTTGCAGCAATCGAGGCCCTCGCTACTGCAGTTTGGCTATCCTCCGGTACACCAGGCATCTGCATCTCGAAACCATGAAATGCCCCCTCCAGACATGAAGCTCGGTAGAGACGCCGCACTTCCACAAGAGCGACGCGTACGCAATCGCCTCGTCCCGAAACACCTCCGCCTCACCCACATCAATAAACGTTGGCGGTAACCCCGTCAGGTCCGTCGCACGCGCAGGTGCAACCATGTAATCAACTTGCGCCCATCTGTCTTTTCCAAGGACACAGTCCCATGCCATCTGGTTGGTAACCCCACACCACGGTCCGACATGCTCAAACTGCTTCGCCGACACCGTCTGGCCCCGGTCATCCAGCATAGGTGCAATCAGCATCTGTGCAAGTAGGTTTAGCGTTGGGTGCTGGCCCTGCCGTGCAAGCAAGGAGCATCCTGCTGCGATGGGACCGCCGCCGGAGACGCCCAGAATCATGATTGAAGTAGGGTCAATCCCAAGCTCGGCTGCATGGTCTGCTACCCAGACTAGTCCGGCGTAGCTGTCGTTCAAAGCCGCCGGCGCTGGATGTTCTGGCGCTAGACGGTATTCAACAGATATGGCGACAATATCAATACCTTCAAAGAAGCGGATTATACTGTCTATCGCGCTGAATCGGTCGCCGGCTATTTGGCCGCCGCCGTGAATAATATACACTGCTGGTCGGGAGCGGTTTGTGGATGACTTTCTGGTGAACATAGAAAGGATGACTGGGCCATCCAGCGAATCAACGACATATTCTGCGTGTTGCATATGTGGAACCCCAGCGAGGACGGTTTCGGCGGAGAATCCAGAGGTCACGGCTCGGATCTTGTCGATAGTATCGAAGAAGGAGAGATCGAGAGCATCAAGTTTGGGTTGAAGCGCAGGGTCGTACGGGGGCCGGAAAATCTCAGGGGGCATGACAGTAGACATGTCTCAATGGAAATGCTGGAGGATAGTTCAAGAGAGGCCCGTCCCTGGTATATGTATATAGACCATGAAAGATAGATTTGGAATTGCGCGCCACCTCCTGCATCCACTTCGAATACCAAACAAGATAGTATTGAGGCTTGGGTCTTTAACTCGGCAAATGAAGTGAATGCCTCCATACAACTCGAACCAATCATTTTCTTTTTATTGTGGACGACATCGTCCACCTCCCCGGTTGGACCCGCCAGTGTTAGAAATTCCCCGGAAGGTTGCACAATTGATACCTAGACTCAATGCATCTATCCAGACTGACCATTTGCCGGTGTCGGGTCAGAGGATATGGTGAGGGGCGAATATTAAGGGTATACGGATAGCTCAAGTGTCCGAACCGGGAAGGCTATGTGGATTGCATCTGGTGGCGACTAGTCAAGTACCCTCTGTATAAACTCGCAACGACTAAGCATGTCCGAAATAAAAAAAAATTCAAGTGCCACATATATTGCATTACAACAATGAGGCTCAATAAAGCCTATGAAAGTGCATATGGTGTGTTGTCGACTCTACAGCCGACTCTGCTTCTTGCATACATATATATGAGTTATGGTTTGACAAAAGGTAATATTATATTTCATCTAGATGTTTACCGGCGAAAGATTAACACAATCATAAGGCTTAGAATTCTTATTTTATTAGTTAGTGTCAGGGTTCTTAAAAAGAGGAGCGAGTGGTGCAGGAATATGTCCATCGATTGTAGTGAATGTACGTATTAGGATATGCATCGGCTTGACCAGTTTGTGACTACTACTATTGTACTCCATAGTCAATACATAAATTCATGCATTTAAATACATTAGACCATTAATAGTTGACATTGCATTCATCTGTTCAAGATATTCTATTGAGTGATCTATAGGATCTAGACTAAACCTATTTGGGAATATCCGCCTCAGGCAATGGAACTGAAATGCAAACTATGCAAACAAGTGGGCGGGATGACTCCGAGGCTTTTTTGTGCTCTTCTTTGATAACAAGATCGCGCGTTTCTTTGGTGCTATTTCTGGAGAAAGTGTCTGAGAACCTCCCCTGACCTCTCTCAGTTTACCTTCACCAACCCTGGACTTAACGTGTTGTTGACACATTGAAGGTAAAATAGCCCTGCCGCTTTCCCACCGGTGCTTCACGAGAACTAGTTCTTGCGACTCTCTTGAACGATAAAGAATTCGTTGCTAACCCTCCTTGCAGAAATGGCTCCCAAGCAGAAAGCCGGACAAAAGCCAAAGCCCAATGCGGCGGAGGAAGTGGAAGAGACATTTCAAGCTGTGGTAGGTCTAGCAGTTGGCAAATGGTTAAATGACTGTTCCTGCCAAAGTCCTTTCTGTGTTATATGTTTGCTAACTTGTGCCTTTGCTTAGGTGCTCGCAGATACCTTCGAGACAAGATTCGAGCCGTTCACCCGCGACAAGCCTCGTGTATGTCCCTACCGCAAAACATTCATGTCCCAAAATGCCGAAATTAACAAACGAATTTATCAGTGCCTTCTGCCGCTCGCAAATACGCCTTTGATCGAATACACCCTCGAATTTCTGGCCAATGCAGGCGTAGAGGAGGTCTTCCTCTACGCAGGAGCACACTCGGATCAGCTGGAGAAATACATCAAGTAGGCTTGTCCTAGCGACTCCCTCCGATACGGATGGCAGAGCTGACCTATATTGCTAGTGCATCAAAATGGAGGGCACCGTCTTCACCATTCAAGCAATTTACCTTCCTTAAGTCGACTTCGACCTCTGTCGGGGACGTTATGCGCGATTTGGACGGCAAGCACCTTATTACAGGAGACTTTATTGTCGTGAGCGGCGACGTGATCAGCAACCTGCCCATCGAGGGTGCATTGGCCGAGCACCGGGCCCGCCGAGCAATTGACAAGAATGCGATCATGACCATGGTTCTAAGAGAGGCTGGCCTACAGCATAGGACCAAGTCCACCTCAGTTTCACCGATTTTCGTCATTGACCCTACCAAGGACCGCTGCCTCCACTATGAAGAAATCGATCGTCATCCAGATGAAGAGCAATTATCTCGTCTGAACATTGACGCCGAAATTATTCTCAAAACTCCCGAACTGGATATCCGCCAAGACTTGATCGACTGCAGCATCGACATCTGCACCCCGGACGTACTGAGCTTATGGTCCGATAGTTTCGATTACCAATCGCCGCGGAAACACTACCTGTACGGTGTTTTGAAGGACTATGAGTTGAACGGCAAGACTCTGCATACATACATCATCAAGGACCACTACGCTGCGCGCGTGCGCAACCTGAAAGCCTACGACGCGATAAGCAAGGATATTCTCTCGCGCTGGACATACCCCTTGTGCCCGGATACGAACTTGCTCCCTGGTCACACGTACACACTTCGTAAGGGCAGCATGTACCAAGAAACCGGGGTGACCCTGGCACGCTCTTGCGTCATTGGGCGCCGCACAGTCATCGGAAAAGGCACTAGCATTGGAGACCGGGCAGAAGTCCACAACTCCGTGCTCGGTCGAAACTGTAAAATTGGCCGCAATGTCAAACTGGATGGTGCCTATGTTTGGGACGATGTTGTGATCGGCGATAACACAAACGTCCGTGGGGCGATTATCGCTGATGGCGTGGTTATTGGCAAGAATTGTGCCGTTGCCGCGGGAGCGCTCCTCTCCTATGGTGTGAAAATTGATGACAACATCTGGGTGGAGAGTGGGAAGCGTATCACGAAAACTCGGAACGATGGTGGCGTGGGCAAGAACGATCCCGCAGTTGTTGGCGAAGAAGGCGAAGGCTATGAGTTCATTCACGGCGAGGAAGAGGAAGATGAAGACGACGACATGAGCGTAGCCTCATCGGGACTTGGTATGTTGTTTCCGGGTGTGTCTCCTCTGGTCCAGATTACTGACTTTATGCCATCTACAGTGTACCGCATGCCCAATCTCTCACTCTCATCCGCCTCCATTTCAACACTCTCATCTGAAGTCTCTAATACCTCTTGGGCACGATCTGAGCGGAGCAGTTTCTCCGCCGACGAGGATGCAGACAACTTCCACCACGACGCCTCAGTCAGCTTATTCGACAGTCTACGTGAAGGCGTGGCAGCAGACGTCGTACAGCTCGAGCTGGTCACGCTGCGCATGAGCGCAAACGCCTCGGACAACCAGGTCCGTCGCGCTATCGTGACATCGTTCATGAAGCACATCCAACAGCTTATGGAGGGCGGCAAGGGTGCCGGTCCAGCAGTCAATGGGGTTTTCACAGCATACAAGGAGGTGGTTGAGCGCACTCTATTCGATCGCAACAAGGAACAGAAGAACGATCAGGTGGATCTACTGCTTTCACTCCAGCAGGATCTTATTCATCGTAACAAGGGTGATACCGTCCTTCTCTTTACTGCCAAGTCTCTATATGAACTTGACCTTATCGAGGAGGAGGCTTACGACCAGTGGTGGAACGATGAGCGCTCTAGTAACTCCGAGGAAATGCGGACTGTCCGCAGTCAGACCCAGCAATTTGTTGATTGGCTCGCCGAGGCAGAGGAGGAGAGTAGTGAAGAAGAATCCGAGGAGGAGAGTGATGATGAGTAGATACCACATGTTTTTATTAAAATTTCAATATGACGTTCAAGGTTCCTTGTTTTTACATAACTAACTAGTAGCTTCTTGTATGTATACAAGTTGTACTTCATAATTGACTTTTAGTCAGATGTAGACATCTTCATTTCTATATTCTCTATACTCTGTCAGTGGATGGAAGCCTAAAGAGGCTGGGGCAGTGGAATGATTATCTGAGTCAATGGCCTGAAAGAGGCTACGGGAGATATACATCAGCTGACCAATCTTGAAATATTTTTCTGATCTACGTGGTTATATTATGAAGATTTTTTTTTTAGTTTATAAAATTACGATAGAATTATAGACCTTCAAAAAAATAATACTCTTACGTACACTCTTACAAGTAAGAGTATCTCGAAGTCGAAAGGCGTCATTCCTTCGAACTGTTTGTTCCAAGGGCCTTCGGGGCCAACAGCCCGGAGATCTTACGCTTCCCCACTCCCCTCTATCCGTGCCCGTCACAGGTTTTACCCAGTGACGTCTGGCCCGATCTCCCACATTCCCCCTTGCCGGCATCTTTGCCGTTACATTCACCACGCCTCCAATAACGCGAAAGAGGAAGGCGGCTGAGGCGATTGCGGACGAGGCACTGCCAAAAGCCGCCCACGGCTCCCGGAAATCCGCTTCTGCGTCCGACCCACGCTCCCACCAAAGCCAGTCTACAACCACAATAGAATCCACAGAGGGGGAAAGTCCCGTCAGTTCCGGTTCGAAAAAGAGACTCTCCGCGACACCCACCACCGCCAGTATGGACTCTGACGATGAGTTCATGAGCGACGTCTCTAGCCAGGATGATTTCTTGGGTACCCAGGGTTCTGATGACGAGAGCCTAGGCGAAGGTGCGTCTGTGTCCGTCTGATATTTCATTTTTGAGTGTCCGTCTACGTCTAGAGTATGGTGACTAACAAGCTGTGTCTTGAGAAGCAGACTTCGATGATCTCGACGCCGGGTTTTCGGACGATAAAGACCTCATCAAACATAAAAAGAAGCCATACGAAGTCGAGTTCAAGGTTCTAGATCCTCCAGATATAGATCATGAACAGCTTGGTCAAGTCAACGAGGTTTGCGCCATCCTTGGGCTACCGCCTGAGTCGGTGGCGATCTTGTTGCGGTTCGGGCGGTGGAACAAGGAAAAGTTGATCGAGTCCTATATGGAGCATCCGGAGGAGACACTGGAGGACGCTGGTCTTGGGTCGAACTTTGAGGGAACCGCGAAGACCGAGCGCGTCCCGGGCTTCACGTGTGACATCTGCTGCGAGGACGGGGATGACCTCGAGACGTACGCTATGCGCTGTGGTCACCGATATTGTGTTGACTGCTATAGACACTACTTGGGACAGAAAATTAAGGAGGAAGGAGA